CCATTCATTTCAATGGACCTCTCAAAGTACATTAGGGCTGGATCCAAGTCATTGTAGGAACTATCAAAGTACAGTTCTTTGTCATTCATATTATGAGTCTAGCACATTAAAAAAAAATAGAAGTGGGAGACAAAAAGGAACAGAGCAGATTTTAAATTTTTGTTATGCAAGGCCAGATAGATAAAGATCACTGTGAAGAAACTATTGTTGAGAGAAAATGAGCTAACATATTTGGTTGGTGAAAAATGACTTATGGGGAGGTGAACTGTAAAAAGTGAGGGGAAAATGGTTTCTTTCACTTTGATCCGAAAAGGATTACAACATCTAAATGTCATGCTGACAGTTAAACTGCCATTTTGCAAATGAAGAGATGACGATGAAAGGAGAGATCAGGGCTTTATGTAGAGGTTGGTGAAATCAAAAGATGGCTTTATATAATCGGTCAGATTGGGAACATTCTGTATTTGTCTATTGTTTCTTTGTTTGGAAGCAGTGAGGAGTGACCATCTGGAGGCTCCTTGGCTACAGAATATTTTAAAGTGACATTCAATACTGAGAGGTCAGTTGTGCATCAAAAGGAAGAAAGCAGGAGACAGTGGGAGAAACCTAGATTCAGGTACCGCAAAGGAATCTGGAAGAAGCTGAAAGAAATTGTAGCAGTAGCAAACAAGGTGGAGGCTGAAGGGAGTATAAACTGAGGAAAAGAAACTCCTACGGCAGTCTCTCAGAAAGAGAGCTAGAATGTCAGCAGGAGGCTTGTCAGGTCTCAGATTGCCAGCTGTAGTCTCAGGGAATTATTATGTTTCTTTGGGTTTACAGATGGTGAGACAAACCTTGAGGCCAGAGTTGCCAGAGAAGTGAAAAGTGTGATTTTTGCATGGGAAGTAGAGTGGAAGCCTGGGGACACATCTCCACCCCTTCCCAACTGGCAGCAGGGTTCACTGGCTCAGCGTGAAGGTGTTGTACATGTTTTCCCAAATGGCCTGCTAGATCCAAATGCCTGCACTCACTGACTCTCTCTCTCTCTCCTCAGTCCCCTCCCCCTGCTGCTGTTTTTCTGCATGATGAGATTGGGCACACTGGGCCATGTGGCTCAAGGCAGGAACTAACGGCAGCACTGGGACTTACTTAGCAGCAATAGAGATCAGCATTTGCTCCCCTGGAATGAATGATTCCAGCGTTTTCTCCTCACTGAATGAAACTTCGTTTTTCTACTTTTTCTTTTCATTTTGAAAAGGTTTTTTTTGGGGGGGGGGAATTGGCCACGGAGCTTCTATTTTGCAAAACTGCATGCCCCCACAAAATGCAAGTTTTTTTTCCTAATGCTGCTGATGATGAAAGAATGCTATGCCTTTTCCTTTTCTTCAGGAGTGAAAAATCTTGCAGAGGTTGACAGGGGGATGGGTAGATGGAATATCTTGATGTGTCTAGGTACCTTTTTCCACTGAAGATGAAAGAAGTTGCTAGTGTTTGCCAGACTCAAGAGCCTTCTTGATGCATATACTTTGGAAGCAGGAGAGCAAAGCCTGATTTAAGAAAAAACTGTCTTGCCTGCCCTGCCTCCATGATATCACAGGGGCCTACCCTACCATGTAACATCATCAATGCCCTTTCAACCAGGTTTGTGTCCATTTCCAAGTCCCAGGTTTGACCCTAAAATCTCAGGAAATGGGCTGCCCTGGAAATTCTAGTCAGCAAGATGTGGTGGAGCTTGAATTCAATTACCAGAAGCAATCAGCTTAGAAGGGTTAAAAGGCTCTTAGTCTCCAGACCTACCCCCACGCTCTTCTCCTTCCTTCTTCACTTGTTTTCGGTATTCTTTCTCTCCTTCTACAGTGCTTGCTCTGCCTTTCTTTTTGCCTATTTTTCTCCTGCGTAATTTCCTCCTTTCTCCTCATCTGAAACTAAAACTTTTCCCCCTTACCCTTTCAAATTCTTGGAGGGTGTGTGCAGAGGGAAGAGCCACATGGAGGCAGAGTTGCCAGGTCACCAGCACCCCATTGTTTGATATTTCAAGGCCAAAATGGACCTTTGTGATGCCATGAGGAAGGATAATGGGAATTGGGAGGAGCACACCTGCTTGTTACCCAGCTGGTCGTGGGAACAGGCAAAAGGAGAACCTAGCATCATTCAGCAAACTAGGCAGTAGTTATGAACCAGAGCAATGAAAAAAGCAAGCACAATTTTTCAGCAGCTGGCCAGGCAGCAAAATTCATCCGCCACAGCCACATCTGCTGTTGTCATTCCCAATAGGATTTATGTTCTGCATGGTTTTACCTACAGAACACGAACTTTCCCAGCCCCTACTCTGCTGTTGCATAGTAAAGGTTCAGAACTAGCCCATGTCCTTTGCATCTACTCTCGGAGCTTATGCAGCCCAGCAACCGCCATGATGTTGGGGCTTCGCTTTGCTGCCTTGCTATACTGTAAATGGTAGAATATATCTGAGTCTATACATTCACTGTCTCTCTCTCCTTGGTCTCATTTTTGGGGTGCACTGATGCTGCATAAAGAAAACAGATGGAGACACCTTCCCACTGAACCAATGTTCTGTTGTCAGTAGGATTCCCAGACTTTAGTCTGAGATGAGTCCAGGCTTTAGATCTCTCTCTCCACAAAAATGTAAACTCTCCCAAAGCTTCGTCTTCTCATGTAGAGATCTGGAGATGCACAACTACTCATTAACCCTACAAGGAGCTGGTGTTTCAAGAAATCAGATTCAAGCTGAAAAGCAGCTTCATCTCTGAGGAAGGTTAAGAAAGTCAGCCTCCTAGTGGCAGATATATTTTAATTAAATAAGATAAATTCATCTACTTAAAATTAACTCCAGTTCAACCCCCTCTCCCCTTGTCTTCTGCTTTGTCTTGGTAGTTGCATAAACAAGACTAAGGTGATCTAGTTTCACCTGGATTGTTCTTGTTATGTTATCATTTTATATCATTCTGCTGCAGTATCACATGCACTTTCTAGACTAAGAAATCATGGAATTCGATTTTATTAGTGCTGTCTTTATGAGTAAAAAATAGTCACTATGAGCATGAACTGTCAACAGACTCAACTGAATGTCATTCTATAGCCACTGACCCACCACATTTTGCCAAATGTGCACCGCACTAACACAGACCCACTGTGCATTGCAGATACTACCTAGTACCAACAACTAAAGAGGTCTTCATAGTGCTTAATTCCCTAGTTTTTCCCACTGTTGGCTGACATTTAATATCCACCATATAGGATATATTTCTATATAACATGGTGAGATCTACACATTCTGCTCATATCCTATGCCTGTGCTCCCCATCCTACTTTATCAGGGGACAAGGAACCAACCAAAAGAGATGCGTTCAGTCGGTACATGGAAGATATGTTGAGACTCCCATTCCTTCAAGCTGCTTGGTGAGTATTCATTGATATTATGTCCCCTCTGATTATATCTTTCTGCACAGACACGTCCCACATGGTGTCTTGGATAGAGATCATTTAGTCTGCAAATAAATATCATTGCTCTTTATAGCCCTTTAATAATTTTCTGTGCAATTGTGCTTATTTCAAAAGAACTTAATTTCAGCAAAACATGTTTAGGATTATGCACTTCATGAAAGCCATTTCACAAAAGTAAACTGCAGCAGCACATCAGAATGTAATTGTCATGTGCTGAAAGTGATTTTTCAGTTATTGGAGAATATATGTGTAGCAGATTTAGAAGAAATGAAACCGAATATATTTTTCCCACATGATTATTTCAGGAATGGTTAAATTGGCAGTTATTATGGATGGGTGAAAAATTTGTTGCGTTCATAAACTATACAAGCAAGTCACACCTGCCACCAGACAAAATGAAATCAACAATCAGATTATGGTAAACTCCTAATCTTACAATGAAGTTCACACAATAACAGCATATGGGTTCAAAAATATTAGAAAAATGTGTCTGAAAAAATGCACATTTGAAAAATGGACAGAAACATACTCCCCACTAAAGGGGGAAAATACATCCGTGTGACAAATATGTGCAAAAATGTATCCATTTTGGAAATATATGCTGGAAATATGAATAAACGTTCCCCAATACAGAGTGAAAAAAGCCCTTCTAATTTTATACAGATCTGGTCCAAGGAGGAAACTGAAGAATTTCAACCAGCTTGAGCTTTACAGATTCACATTTTTCTACATATGCAGTTATCTAAAATATGTGGGGTTGTATCCAGTTGCGGTGTTGACATTACTGCAGCAGAAAATAGTTCCATTGTGCAAGTCAGATCATCTGATTTTTTCCTACTGCAACCCTCTCTTCTGTTCTACTGTAGAAAGCCCTGCAACTCCCAGGAGTATCTGGGGAGGGGTTTGAGTTGGAGGAGGAAGGTAAATCAGGCACCCACATATTGGAAGAGAAAAAGCCATTTCTACACATAGGATAAAATCCTGTTGCTCAGTGTAAGCCAAACTGTAACTTCTGGTCTGTTTCTCCCTGGTAAAGAGAGTGCTGATAAATAAAAGTGTCTGTGTGCTGCTTTGAGATTAATCACCAGGACAGTTTGTTTACTAGGGAGGAATAGACCACAAATTGTGATTTGGCTTATGCTAAGCAAGGATTTCAGCCACAATGTTTAGGCATTTCTATAATTTATAAATTAATGAAATATAATGAAATAACATTATAAATTGCATTATTAACATCAAATGTAAATCCATAAATTGCATTACATAAATTAATCCTGCTTATTATCTACAAAGTGAACAATTTTGGGGAAGAAATTTAATAATCATACTGTGCTCTCTTCCTGCCTTCTCTTTTTCTTTCATTCTGACTCAACTTAGATGCCACCACAATTTGCACATCTTCAAGTTTAACAATATCACATTTGCAATCAGTCCTGTTCTTCTAACACACTGTCTATCACACTTGCCATTTTGTGTTTGTTGACACTGCTGTGAGTTATCGAATGTTACCTAATTTCAGGGAATACAAATTATATATATATTCTAATTGTAAAGCTTACCTGAAGCAGTAAGCCAGATGCTGGTTTCATTCTTTGCTGGAATAGTACACTTAGTGTTCGATTCTGTTGTTCTAGGTCAAAAACTCTTGTTTTCAACTTCAAGCACTCCTCTCTCAAATCCTAGAGAATGAGGTTTAAATAGGACAGAGGAGAAAACAGTATGAATGAAAAGGTCACACAAACACATATTTAACAGAACATCCTACTTTTGCAATGTCTGCCTTTTAGAATATGCTGGGAAATATGGGTACATTTCCCCATACACAGAGGGGGAAAAAACCCTTTCTGATCCAATAGTAATTTGATTTCAGGGGGAAAGTCAAGACTCTCAATAGCCTTGAGCTTTCCTCAACACTAGCTTCAAAACTAGTTTCTCTTTTAAAAAAAAACCATTAAAGATGGTTTTTAAGGTGTAATTTATGCTTATCTAGAATGATAGTCTAAAATTAGTTAACAGTGTAAACCTGTAAAAGCAAGTTCCCCTGAGTTCAGTTGCACCTATTTCTGGACCAGAATACCTAGAATTGCAGTCGAAAGGTTTTTTTTAAAATAAATTTATCACACATATATAAACCAGATACAAATCATGAAATAAATGTATCACGTTAGCAGGCTGAGTATTCTTCCAAGCAAGAATCATAATCAGCAGCCGTCTAAAACCACAGTACTTTTTATTTGATATCAGTTCCACATTGCCTCCCAATTGCAAGCAAGAGAGAGAGAGAGAGAGAGAGAGAGAGAAGAAAGAAAAGAAGTGGGAAAAGCAAACATCCAGGGCAGGTGCAAAAAGATGAGTATATTATGCATAACCTCTACTCAATCTTTTCATTTTATATCAACAAGCATGAACAGCCTGTACATCCCTGTCTGTTGATGTGTCCCTGACCCCTCTGTAATTTCAAAATTGCAGTTGCCTGTGTTTGTTCCATTGATATTCCAAGGAAACTTTAGTGTGGCACAGGGGTTAGCATACACAGAATTAAATCTCATGCAACATAAGGCTGAACAGATACTGAAATATTAGTCAGTTTATAGACGTTTCTGTGATAATACAACCAAGATACTGAATGTGTTTTATCAAATATTTGTCTTATACCTTCTGCATTCTCCTTGGCTATAGCAGACAGCAGGGATGTTGTGAATACAGACTCATAGTATTATATCAGAATAGCCATGCTAAGTGAGGAACTGTGACTTTCTGCACTTTTGGGGGGACAGGGGAGGCTACCCTATTCTTCCGCCTTTTGTCCAGAAGCCCGAATAAGTCAGATGGTCAAACTCTTTAATTGGCATTTCCTCCTGCAAAAAAAACAGCAGCTTGGAAGGGGGGAAGGCTTTTGCTGGATTCTCATTGAGGGAAATGAAAGTAAGGGTTAGCATTTCCTTGCTCTATACTGTGATTCCAACAAAAAGTGGGGACATGCACAACTTGGCAACATATGCTTATAGGTAGAGACACAGAATCTGAGAGACTTAGTGAAATGAAACATGTCAAAAGTAATGATTAGAGCTATGACTTTCTTTGGACTGCAAGACCCAGAATTCTCCGGCCAGCCAGAATGATTGGTGGGAATTGTAATCTGAAAAAAAAAGAATACTCTTATAAAAGCAGAGGAGGGAAGGGAGAAGTATGCAAACCCCACAGCTCCTTAGGAAGGCTCCTGAATGTCTCTTGATTACTTGCATGAACTGAGTCAGAGGGTCATTGCTTCATTTCCTCACAAGAAAAAACATCAATGATGAGCCAGGTATTTCACCACCGTATCATTAAAATCATGGAAGGTCTCTTGTAGGCAGATACACAGTTTATGCAAGGGGTAAATCTGCCCTAAAGACTACAAGGTACCCTTTCAGCTTTGGGCAAGCACTTAATTAGGTTGCCACTTTTGATAGTGATGCAAAAAATAAAACACTCCTGTATTACTATCATGTCAACACTGAAAAAGTCACATGCAGAAACTCATACAGAGTGGAGCGCAGTATAGGACTGGTGAAGCAAAAAAGACCTGATGGCCTTCATGGCATTTGAGAGACCCACAGTCACAGAATGCAGTCCTGTTGATACTGGTAGAGCTGTCGGGTCTAGCATTTGCTGTGCACACAAAGCCAGGTGATCCTACTACTGTATTTGTCTCGGGGCAGAATGCTGCTCCCTCCTTCCCCTTGCATAGCAGCCTCCTGGAGGAGCAGCTTGAGAAGTACAAAGCTCGCACACAGGAAGGTGTACAGTGCCTCCTCATTCAAGTAGAAGCCACATCGGTTATGAAGAGGCACTCTCAGCCAACTTCTTTTATGCAACAGAGATCAAGCAGAATTCCACAAGTGAAGCATGGTGCTCTGCCAGCGTTAGACTCCTCTGACCATGGCTCATTGGGATAGGGATCAGAGCTGAGTGCTGCCATGGAAGTTGGCCTGTTTCACTCCCTGGCCTCTGGCTTCCCATGGGGAAAACATTTGCACAAGGCTTTAGATGAGAAAAGACAGAACTGCCTGCACAACAAGCCGTTTTACAGGCATACGGCGATCATGGGACTGACACTATAGTGTTCACCATGACAATATACACCTCTGTAAAATTCCCTCCACCTTTTACAAAAAAAGAGGCACATGCCCACATGGTGCAGTTATGACAACTGAACAACAGGACAATCACAAATTTGTTTAACCATTTTGCACAGTATCATAATAACTGCTAGATAGCCAATGGAAATGATGGTCTGTGCTTCCACAACATACATGAGATAAACTAGAAGCTTCTACGTGCCAAAAAGCTAGAACTTTAATGAGTGCACAGTGCAAATCTATGACATTCTATTATGTGTATATATTACAACCATAGGCAGCTAATGATGCCAGACCATTACAACTGTAGTGTTTAATTTCTTCATTTACTTTGCCTATAGATAAAACAATGAGTCACATATAGTCCAAATATTGGTCAACAGAAGCCATTCAGAACCACATAGATACTAGTTAGAAAAGTACATGAGAAGAATACTCTGTGCTGATGTTTAAAAACAAAACAGAGAACTGACTCATTCTTCCTAGAGAGTGAAGCATAGACTGGAAGATATAACAAGGCTTATTTAGAAGCAACTTGAATCCATAAGAGCCATGAGAACTGAAAGAGAATGAAGATCAAATCCCGGTTCAGCCACGGAAACTGACTAGGAAGTATTAATAGTAAAACCACTCCTTAAGTATCTCAAACATCATGAAAATTCTACTGGGGTCACTGTAAATCTGATGTAACTTGACAGGGTATGACATTCAGATATACAGTAATGAAAGGTGGTGTCGTGAAAATGCTTAGAGGGGATGGCCTAGCCCCACACCCTTCATTGTCACATTTATACACTTTGAGGGCCTAAACCTGAGGTTCCTACTAGCATGTAGGCTCACACATGAGCAAGAGGGCTGGAAAGTCTCTCTTTTGCGCATGTGAACAGTGGCAAGTCTCTTTAGACTAGGCACTGGAGCTTAGGGTGAAGAGTATGATGTGGGTACAGGACAAGATTCTAAGCGAGTTTACAGTGCTGGCTTTGGTAAAGCCTAGATAGAGCTCTTGGGACATGCATTTAATAATAGGAAATCATATGCTCAAACGGAAATGAATTAGCAGAATTGTCAAGCATAACAACTACAGTTATAGCAACATTTGGACAAAGCAAACTTTCAGTCTATTTGCTTCCATTAAACATGGCATTTAAACTCTGAGTTTCTTTCTCATACAAAAGAAAACTGTATTGCCTCCCCCACTACATATTTTAAGTGTGAGAAAGCAGAATAAAAACTTCCATTGCTACCCACATATTTATCCATTATAAGCATTAACTATATACTGAAGTCCAAGAACCTGATGGCACAGCAGGTCAGAATGGGGGATGGTGGTTTGAAAGAAGCAAAGTGTTTTTATCTATTCTTGTGCTGCTGTACCAAAGCCAGCATGGCAAACAGGAAAAAAAGAGGTAACACAATGAGACACTTTTGTTAGAGGATAACTGGAGAAATTGTGGCTTAGCTGTGATTCAAAGGTAACACTTCATAAACTAAGAAGTCACTGTGCCAAGCACATTATGAAACTGAATGTTTATTTAAAGTATCCCTAAGGCTAACCAATTTATATATTCTCTGCCTTCTAAAGTGACAAGGAAGTAGTGATATCTTTTATTTGAAGTCAAAATCTTACATCCTTTAACTCTGCAAACAGAAGAGTCTGTTAATAACTGTATCATCTCAGACCTCTTACAGGGAACCATTATACATCTTCTATTTAGCCAAGCAAAAGCCCCAACGCCAGTCTTTGTGGGGTTCTAACAAACAGACAAGTCATTAAAAGGCTAGTTGCCCCATTAAGAGGGAGAGTATCAGACACAAAAAGAGAATGTGGTTCATGAGAACTGGCAACAAGAACAGACAAAGCAGTACCTCATGCACACTGTTCCTTTATAAAATCTGACATTTCCTCCTCCTCATTTCTTTAAATAGTAAAATGTTAATTTGCTACATAATCTAGTTATTGAACAAAGAGCTTTAACACTAGAACCATACACAGGAGGATATGAAAAAAAATCACTCCCAAGGTAGCATAATGTGTGCATGCTCTAATCCTGCTACATCCTTCATAATATATTCCCATAACTATTGTGAACTACAAATTCCTAGGATGTAGATATTTCTCATCTCTTCTTAGGAACACACTTTTTTTCCCTGAGGCCACATAGTTGTTAACTGCAGATGATCAATCCTGAACACTTATTTATTAAAATTACATATTATTTGTGCAGCGGTTCCTAGATGCAATGATTATTTAGATCCATTTTTAATCTGGCATCAGGTCTGGCTCTTGGCAGAAAGAGTTTTGGCCACAGTGGTTGATGATCTATAGCAGGAACTGGTCAGGGCAGTGTGTACTTTCTGGTTCTGGTGGAAGTACTGGCCATAATCCTGTTTCCTTTGGAAAGTATTCGGTGGGTCCAAGATGCTGCAGCTAGAATTCTGACTAGAGATGAGCATGAACTGCTGAACCTGGGTTGAATTTTTGGCTGAAGAGGTATTCAGGGCTTCCCCAGCCATGCCTCCTCCAGCTGCCAACCCAGAGGCAGTGCCTGGAGGAGGCA